GTGCTCGGGTGGGCGGGGATTTGGCGGCGCGGCACTGGGGGGGGTTCGGCTGCACGGCGCTTGCGGGGGGTGGTACGGCGGCGCTGCGCTCGGGGGGGTATGGTGGGGCGACGCTCTTCTCCTGGGGCGGCAAAAAAGTTAGAGCCGGCCCTGTTTCTAAGGCCTCTTCTGACCATGCTGCCAGCTAGTTTATCACTTATTTTTAACAGCAATTAAAAATGGAACAAAATAATATTTTTCAGCCATAGAGTGCCTTTAATCCAAAGATCATAACACTCTTTGATTACTGAAGACTTGCAATTCCCCTGAGAGGTAGGTAGCTTGTAAAGTGCCCATTTTATAGATGTGTAAGGTGACTTATCCAAGGTCACAGTGAATTAGTGGAAGAGCCAGGCTGAGAATCCTGACTCCAAGTCTCCCTGCTCTAATCACATAAACCACACTGCCTCTGCATTTCTCGTAATTAGTGAACCCTGGTAAACTTTAACCCACTGACTGAATTACACCTGATTCAGTATTTGAAACACTTCTGCAGAGAATAACAGCTTATGCATATCAACTATTACTTTGAGATTTGCATATGCACTGTGTCTTAGTATTATTTTATATATATATATATGGAGCTATATCTATCTCATAAAACTGGAAGGGGCCCTGAAAGGTCATTGAGTCCAGCCCCCGACCTTCACTAGCAGAACCAAGTACTGATTTTTTGCCCCAGATCCCTAAGAGGCCCCCTCAAGGATTGACCTCACAATCCTGGGTTTAGCAGGTCAATGCTCAAACTACTGAGCTATCCCTCCCCCTGGAAGCAAGTGAGATATCAAGCAACTGAGATGTTATGGCCTGAAGCAACTGAGATGTCACTTATGATTAACCATAAGCTTAATTACAGTAGGTGAGAGACTGAAAATAAGTTTTTAATCAGATTTTACACAAAACATTTTTGCACAGCAAGTCAACTTACATCTGTTGCATATTCCACAGTTGTTAGGGGAATCCATAAAGTACCTAAAAGTTTGTCCCATATCAAGCCTTTCTTCCACAGCTCCACCACGAAGCCCTTTTCAACATCACTGATTTCACTAAAAATAAACAAATTTAAAAAACAACAACAACAAAAACAGATATTGTGAGTTGGGACAGCAAACCTGAAAATCTGAAAATGTAATCTTAATGGTAGTTTTATTACTGTTCCACCATAATACTCTGAATCTCTGCTTTCTAACCACACACAATTATCATCATTAATATACAATAGAACCTTACTTTTACAAACACCAATCTTACAAATGACCTGTTATATGAACGCTTTCTCCTGACCAAAAATAAAATAAAATCACAAACAAAAGGGATGTCAATAAAAAACAAGTTGATGTCACCTCACATTCTGATAACTTCAATTAGAAATGTTTTGCAGTGCTTTCGAAGGGAAAGAAAAAAGCAGTGCAGTACATCATACTGCAACCTATGCCCTGAACCTACTATACTTCTGAGATGTTCAATTTTGTGAACTTTTTGATTTTATGAACAATCTCCAATTAGATAATAAAATATGGGTTCTACTGTGAAATATGAAGTAACTGGCACTGATATGAACATAACCTCCATGATCCAAGTCAATAATACACTTGAATACTAACTTTCAGGCTCTTGACTGATTTATTTCACAGCTCCATACTTTGTGTGTCAGAAAGTCTGCCAGGAGTGGGGCAGCAGACTGGTACCAACAGCCAATATTCCTGCTTTGCTGGAAGACCTAGAGACGTCTGACATAGCCCTGAGAAAAAAGTAGGTGTAAGCAGAAGATGCACTGATTCAGACCAGTGTTGCAGCTCTGACCTTCCAATGGATTTTGAAGCTGCCCTCCTCAGGAGGAATCCCAGGGCCAGTGTGCTATAATGAATCATACACCCACCTCTAGTGCAGCTGCTCACATAGGTACAGGACTTACCTGTGTATCTAGCCCTTAGTTAGTTAGTTGGCTCTCCAAAGAGTAGTTAAATATATTTTAATAATCTAGGGCAGGGGTCAGCAACCTTTCACAAGTGGTGCCAAGTCTTTATTTATTCACTCCAATTTAAGATTTCGCGTGCCAGTAATACATTTTAATGTTTTTAGAAGGTCTCTTTCTATAAGTCTATAATATATAACTAAACTATTGTTGTATGTAAAGTAAATAAGGTTTTTAAAATGTTTAAGAAGCTTCATTTAAAATTAAATTAAAATGCAGAGCCTCCCGGACCATTGGCCAGGATGCAGGCAGTGTGAGTGCCACTGAAAATCAGCTCGCGTGCCGTCTTTGGCACGTGTGCCATAGGTTGCCTACCCTGATCTAAGGAAATACCTGCTCAATTACACACTTGTACAGTAACTTAATTCTAAGCCTCCTTACAACCCATATTCTAGTTATTTACTATTTTTAAATATTGGTAGGTAACAGCACTGTAGTGCTTCACAAAAATCTAACTTTTCAACTTGATAGCATCCCTGAGACATAGCTAGAGAAACAGATTGAAAGGGCCAAGCTGGGCTCTCGTCCAAATTGAAAGAGCTATTTGTAAACAAATCTGTGATTAGAAACTAACAGTTCCTAGGTTACCGAGGAGTGAATCTGAAAACATTACCCTTTAGTTATATGAGGGGGCTGGTTAGAGCCCAATTGTCCCATTATCATTGGGGTGAGGAGGAGGATCTTTTGGGTTAGCTCCATCTGTGACTTTTTGGGGGGGTACTTGACAAGACACTGGCAACAGATTCCTTACAACAGAACCATACATACATGAATAATTAATCACCCCAGGTATTTAGTAATCACAAAACACAAGGATAAAAATAAATAAATCTTTCCGAAATGCAGAAGTGATCATAGCAGAGATTTTGCATGGCTGCTGGTAAAGCTACACCTGCATCATGGTGTCAGAAAGTGAGCTGGCCTTTAAGGATTATGGCCTTAATTCCACCTGTGCTCAGATATTTGACTCCTAGGAGATGGTTTGAGGCCAGGGCTAAGAACCGCCATACTGGGTCAGACCGAAGGTCCATCTAGCCTATTATGATGCAAGGCTAGAAAGGGTTAAACATCCTGCAAAATAAATAACCCTCAAAAGACACGTGGGGAGATAATGTTTGTGTTTTTGTGTATTTACTTATGTATGAGTAGGGTCAACAATGTAATCAACAGTCCCTGTCTATCCTATATTCTGATATTTAAATGAATTGTAAACATGGGATATCTCGGTATTCATGTCTCTTTGAAATGTAGTGTGAATGGTGGAGGAACAACCAAATGGCCTTATTTTAATTCTATAACTAAGTACCGGTGATGGACCTCCTTTAAAGTCATCCTAATTACCTTTTGTTCCCTGAGGACAAAAGACATGAAATTGTATAAAAGATCCTTGGGTCCTGATTCTGTCATCTCAGATCTGCTTAGGCTTCATCAGGGGAAGTTGGAGTCACAAGACTGAGGTCCCGGTTATGCTGGTAGGCCCTGAATATGATATTTGGACATTGGACTATAACCTATGAACTATTTCTGAAAGAACTCTTTGCAACTACAAAGCTCACCATCTCTGCTATGAATCTGCACTTAAATGAATTGAACTCATGTCTGTATGTACATTGATCTTTTAACCATAATCTCTCCCTTTTTAAAAAATAAATTTTAGTTTAGTTAATCAGAATTGGCTGTAGCGTCTATTTGGGTAAGATCTGAAACATTCGTTAACCTGGGAGGTAATGTGTCCAATCCTTTGGGATTGGTAGAACCTTTTCTTTTATTTGATGAAATAAGATTTACAGAAATTTTCATCATATTTAACGTGGGCATCTGGATGGAGGCCTGAGGCTGGATCACTTTAAGGGAACTGTGTTGTTTGGACTTCTGAGTAACCAATAAGGTAATAAGGAAGCTGTTTTATGCTGGCTTGGTAAATCTAAGTGTAAGCAGAGTCAGGATGAGCTCTACCCTGACATCTGTTGCTGAATTATGGCGAGTGTGGAAAAGAACTTCAGGGGCTGATCTTGTTTGCATAGGGACACCCACCCTGCCTAGCATGATCCCACGGCCGTCCAAAATGGTCACTCTGGCTGCTGTGGGATCCCCAGTTTCTCTGTTATTGGGGCAGGAGTAATAAAGTATTGTTACCCTGATTATGTGAATCAAGGGCAATGAAACTGTTTTATGACAGATGGTCTCACCATCACCTAAGTAGCACTCGCTAGACAAGGGACATGGGTTCCATAACCCAGTGAATTGAGAGAGGTTGTGGACAGGTATTTGTACCTGGTGGTATGGCTCTCTCTTGAGGGTCTGAAACATCAATTGCACCATTTTCTCTCTCTCTAGTGTTGAATAGCAGAGCTAATTTTGATTCTATTAAGAGTCTAGTTACAGGCTGCTATGCTGAATTCATTTTAGGCCAATGGTGCACCAGCACTGGGGCTCCCCTACTACAAGCTGAAATCACTGAGTGCTGTGTTAACTAGTGGGGGAGCCTGAAGATTTATTGTTAAGTGGCTGGCAGAGCATTGCAGTTTGCGGGACGGTTGGTGTGGCCCACGGGATGACGAGTGGAGTGGAGGGGAGCAGTTTGTGGGATGGCTGGAATGGCTCATGGGACAGCTGGAGGAGCGGAGTGGCTGGTGAAGTGGAGCAGCTCGTGGTGAAGGCTGCAGCAGAACCCCATGGAGAGGCGGGGCAGTTGGCCTCAGACCACGTAAGGTGCCCCTTAATACCCCACATACCCCTTTCTCCTCCTCCCCTTATTTCCACCCAGGCTGGGGGTGGAGGTAAGACTCTGCAGATAAACTTTTGAACTCTAGGGCTGCACTGACCAGGGACAGAGACTTTTGGGTGATTCTTGTGTTGCTGGACTCAAGAGACTTTTGGGGGTTTGGACTTTTGGGACTTTGGGGGTGGGTCTTTTGCTCATGGATTGTGTTATGGATCCTGTTTGTGGTGTTTTCCCAATTTAATGCTGATGTCATTTACCTCATGTTATTAAACATTTTCTGCTACACTCAGACTCCGTGCTTGCGAGAGGGGAAGTATTGCCTCTTAGAGGCACTCAGGGGGTGGTATGTAATTGTCCCTGGTCACTGGGTGGGGGCTCAAGCTGGTTTTGAATTGCGTTATTGAAACAGAACCCCTAGATACTGAACCCGGCCCTTGTTGCTGCCAACTCAGATGGGCAGAAGGGTTCCATAAGTATTGGAATAGCCATGAGCTTTTTGGGTTTCGCTGCCCCATTCTTTGCAGTTCACCCTAATTGAGTGACCACAGCTGGCCCCCACTAGGATCCTGGTCACACCTAGTATCCTGTCTTTCGACAGTGGCCAATGCCAGGTGCCCCAGAGGGAATGAACAGAACAGGTAATCATCAAGTGACCAATTCCTTGTTGCCCATTCCCAGCTTCTGGCAAACAGAGGCTAGGGACACCATTCCTGCCCATCCTGGCTAATAGCCATTGATGGACCTGTCCTCCATGAACTTATCTAGTTCTTTTTTGAACCTTGTTGTAGTCTTGGTCTTCACAACTTCCTCTGGCAAGGAGTTCCATAGGTTGACTGTGCATTGTGTGAAAAAATACTTCCTTTTGTTTGTTTTAAACCTGCTGCCTATTAATTTCATTTGGTGACCCCTAGTTCTTGTGTTATGAGATGATAACCTGTAGATCACCTGCTTCCTGGATGAAAGGCTAACACACAGTAACAATTTATATCAGATGAAAGGGCTGTCTGGAGTTACCTGCAGTAAAGGGCAGATTTAAGAAGGAAAAGGCTCAAGGAGACACCAGAACCCCAGTTTGGAAGAGAAATGTTGAGTCCAGCAAGTGGTGAAGAAACTGTAGAGTTGTGGAAAGACTTGTTTTGAATTATGCTAGCATTTGAACTGTGATTTTTTTAGTACATCAGCCCCCACCACACAAAAAAGGTATTATGACTTACAAGCATCTGGGTGTTTGAGAACCCCAAGAAGGGGAAAGCGAGGTAGTGTCAGAGCCTGATGCTAGATGGGTTATGACACTGTAATGGCAAGCACTCATTCCTGGAGCACCCCTGGGTGGCCCAGTGTGAACC